GGTTTCCAAGGAGCAGCTGGTGGATTCAAACTGCTGACTTTTGGTTAACAGTCAGGCTCTTTAACCACTGTGCTATCAGGGCCCCGGCATGTGGTAAGGTGGTCGATAAATATTTTTTGAATGGATAAACGCTTTTCTGCTGTCACTGTTGCACGTGGGATATATTTTCTTTGTCTGAATCACAAAACCTCAAAATAAGATAAAACTTTTTAAAAATGTTTTTAATGATTAGTTTTTTGCTTGAAACGATAAATGAACTGTTGACCGCTTTTCTAGGTGATATTTCACTAAGCATTAGGTGGCAGTAGTGTGTCGTCCTTGACTTTACCTTTGTAAACATTTTTTTTCAGCTTTCATGATCTTAATGTAGTGTCAGAGTGTAAAAGACACAATCATAACACTTTAATACTTAATTTTTTGTAACATACTTCTGTTTTAAGCACATTGGGGTCTCATAATGAAAGAAAACAAAATGTATAGCCATATCAATGTGTATCTCTCTTGCCTACCTAAACTATATGCAGATTCTTGGGAGAATTACTACGGCACCATCTCAAAAGCTCTTCCTAACCAACTGCTTAACGGCTGCTTCATAATAACAGTGATTTGTGATAACGAAAACCAAAAATTATCTCAGAGGATGTGTGTTTTATAGGCATCCTAAGAAGCCTACTTAGACCTTTATCTCAAAAATAGTATTTTAAGTTCATTGAACTTAAACAGTTATTAACTACTTTTTCTTTTTTTGCTCATCGGTTTCTGTCAGTATTAAAGTCACTTATCTTGTTTGTTGAGTTTCATTTTAGGTAAATTTCCTTCATCATCAGTTTCATCATATTAGTTTTCTCAGGCTGCCATAACAAATCACTACAAACCTGTTACCTTGAAACAGTAGTAAAATATTACCAAGAGAACAGTCAGTAATTCATTTATCATTTCATGTGAAAAAGAGTAACAATTGAAAACACAGTTTATGTTTTAACTTTTTTGAAGGTTTTGTAATTAAGATGGAGAAAATATAATCCATGTGCAAGAGTGACAGTACAAAAGTATGTTTATCCATTCAAAAAATACTTATACTCCCTCTGAAAGCTCTAGGGAAAAATCCTTCTTTGCCTCTTGCAGTTTCTGGTGACCTCAGGCAGTCCTTCTTTCGTTGCAGCCTAACTTCAGTCTCAGCCTCTGTCTTCCCTTCTTCCTGTGTGTCGCTGTATTTCCACATGGCATTTTCCTCCCTGTGTGTCTTGGTCTCTGTGTGCTCTCTTCCCTTCTTATAGGGACACCAATCAGTGGATTTAAGGCCACCCTAAGCCAATATGACTTCATCTTAACTACTTACATCTGCAAAGACCCTGTTTCCAAATAAGGTCACATTCTGAGGTTCTGAGTGGATGTAAAATTTAGGGGGACACTGTTCAATATAGGTAGTTAGATTGCCACGACCTCTCCAACCTTATGCATTTAATCTGTGCTATTGATTTTGAACACTTACAAATGAAAATGTCAGTTTTTTTAGTATACATTTCATTCCTTTTGTGATTTCCTATAGTATATAGAGTTAAATCAATAGACACTTATTTAAGGAAAGTTTGTGCAGTTTAGGTCCACGAGATATTTTTGCAAATAAAAAACATAGATAACCCTTAGCAGAACAGTTTTAGTGCTGATTCAAGTATGAAATATTAAACAATTTGTACCTTGGAACACTTAATTTTCACTGTGGTGTTGTTGTTGTTAGGTGCCATCAAGTTGATTCTGACTCATAGTGACCCCATGTTATAATGGGACGAAATGTTGCCAGGCCCTGTGCCATCCTCACAGTAGTAGGTATGTTTGAGCCCGTTGTTGCAGCTACTGTGTCAGTCCATCTCATTGAGGGTGAATCAGAAATTAATAATGTTAATTTAATCTTAAAGGTCCCTGGGTGGGCTGGTAACCAAAAGGTTGGTTTTTCAAACTCACCCAGTGGCACCATGGAAGAAAAGGCCTGGCGATCTGCTTCCGTTAAGATTACTGCCAAGAAAACCTTATAGAGCAGCTCTACTTTGTAACATATGGGATCGCCATGAGTTGCAAGGGACTTGACAAGACAACAACAGCTATTTCTTTATTGCATTAATTTGCAGCGAAGGTAGAATTTTTTTTATCTTTAAAAGGACATCCTGCATGTAAAATATATTGAACTCAAATATGATACTTGGCACACACAAAGCACATGTGTATCACATGCACACACATCATGCTTAGTACATGTGCCACAGGCATGCCACAGCTGCACCACACACTTAGCACATGTGTCACAGGCATGTTGGTTGCTTAGTGCATGCTTAGCACATGCATGCCACACTTGGACACATATCAGCACTGTCACACACTTAGCACATGCATGTCACACACAGCACATATTCAGGGTGCACTTAGCACGTGTGTCACAGGCTGTTACACACTCAGCACACATTTAGTGTAAAATTAGCACATGCTTAATACACACTTTGTTGAGGGTCTTCCTCACAGGTTAGGCCTGGTCATACACCAGCCTGACTGAGAAAGCCTTATGAAACCAATTGGCTGCCCAAAACTAAAAGCTATCACTACATTTTGATGCGAGTCATATACCAGTTCTATGATAGTCAAAATATAATTCTGTCTCTTTCATTAACTTGGTATTTTCCTGACTACTATTTGAAATAAGTAGCTCACAACCTGAGTCTTTTAAGTCTGTTCTATTGTGCTTCTAGAATGCAATATTATTCCATGACACATGGTTCAATTAAAAAAATAGCAGTGTAAGCAAGAAAATAAATATGTCATTTGGGATGCTAAAGGCCTCAGTCCAATCTGTTTTGACAGCAAGTTCCAGAACAAAATGAAGTTCTTAAAAGGAAAAATACAGTCTGTGGAAAGAAGGCTAATGATGGTCCACAGAGATAACAGGTCCCAATCCCTGGAACCTATAAATGTTACCTTATTTACAAAAAGGGTATTTACAGTTGTGATTAAGTTAAGGATCTTGCAATGGAGAGATTATTCTGGATAATCTGGTTGGGCCATAAATGCAATCACAAGTGTTTTTATAAGAGGGAGATTTTACACATACAGAGGAGAAAGTGATGTGAAGACATCACAGAGAGAGATGTGAAATGCTGGCCTTAAAGACTGGAGATATGTGACTACAAGTCAAGGAATGCCAGCAGCTGTCAGAAGTCGGAAGAGGCCTCCAGAGGGAGCATAGCCCTGCCAACACCTTGATTTCACCCCAGTTATACTTATTTTGGACTTCTGCCTCCAGAACTGTGAAAGAATAAATTTTTGTTGTTTTAAGCCACCAAATTTGTGGTAATTGGTTTTAGCAGCCACAGGAAACTAATATACAGTCCAAATATGTCTGTGGTTTAAAAATGGAATACAACAGACACTACAGTTTTTTAAGACGCTTTAATTACAGGGTTGTTATGGATTGACTTGTCTACCCCAAAAATGTATGTCAACTTGGCTAGGTCATGATTCCCAGTATTGTGTGATTGCCCACCATTTTGTCATCTGATGGAATTTTCCTGTGTGTTGTAAATCCTACCTCTGATGTTAATGAGACAGGATTAGAGGCAGTTCTGTTAATGAGGCAGGACTCAGTCTACAAGATTAGGTTGTATCTTGAGTCAGTCTCTTTTGAGATATAAAAGAGAGAAGCCAGCAGAGAGGATAGGGACCTCATGACCACAACAAAGAAGAGCCAGGAGTGTGCACATCCTTTGGACCCAGGGTCCCTGCGCTGAGAAAGCTCATAGACCAGGGGAAGATTGATGACAAGTACGTTACCCCAGAGCCGACAGAGAAAGCCTTCCCCTGGAGCTGGCACCCTGAATTTGGACTTCTAGCCTCCTAAACTGAGAGACTAAATTTCTGTATGTTAAAGCCATTCACATGTGGTATTTCTGTTATAGCAGCACTAGTTAACTAAGACAAAGTTCTATTACTAAAATGAAAAAATTACATTTCTGAACATCTGCTACTGTTACCCCAAGATTATTTGAATGAATTGTCTCTAAATTTAGATAAATTTTCTTCACTTGTTTGTTGAGAGGCTGCTGAAAAGCAAATGACAGATTGATTCTTTCAGAAGAACTGATAGTTAAAGAGACAAGGGAGAACCACAAAGAACATAGAAGAAAAGGAATAAAGAAGGGGATAGTATAAGTGAGCTATCCAGTAAGCCACATTTATATCAGCATTTAAGAACTGACGTACTGGCATAAAACTTTATAGACCAAATAGTCTAAAGAAATTACTGCATGTTAAAAATATTCTTAAAAATTTCTTAGACATTCACGTAAGAAAGACTCGTTAGTGAGTTTAATCATAGTCGAATGTTTCACTGAGTTGTTTAAAATTGTGTCTTACAGATCTGCCCCAGAATAACCATTTTTCAATACAATTTTATGATTTGAGGGATTTGTAACTTTAAAATCCTCAAGGCTGAGCCAGAAGATGAAAAGTGTTTTATTTGTATAATTAGATAAACAATTTTATTTTAAACTATGATTGTATGGTCTACTTTCGTAAGAAAAACTTAGTAGTTCCTTTGCAATGATATTGACAGCCAAGCACATTATATAAGGAAAGCTTCATACTCTGCAGTCTTGCTCTTCCTTTTTCATGTCCTGTTCTTCTGCACGTACCTATTTCTGTTTGTGTTAGTCATCCTCCCTAGGTAAATTGTTCATGAGACCAATGATTCCATCAGCAAATTATCCAGAAAATGCTGTCTTTGCACGTTGTGACAGATCATGTCACTAGTGGATTTATAACTACTCCAGTGGTCTAATTGACCTGGCAGTTGTCTCCTGTGCCCAACACTGTTTGTCTCATTGCCTTGGCATCTTAGTTTTCATCTTCTCATTACCTTCTCTCTTAACTAAAGCTTGGATTTACAATTTTTTTTTTTAACTGCCTACCTCTGCTTAACCCTCTCTTTACTCTCTCCCTGTATTTTTGATTGACAGTACCATCCAGACAAACAAAGTGCAGATGTGCCAGCAGGAACAGTGGAGGAATGCATACAGAAGTTCATCGAAATTGATCAGGCGTGGAAGATTCTAGGGAATGAAGAGACAAAAAAAGAGTATGACCTGCAGCGGCATGGTAGGTCCTTGTTATAGCAGGAGGCGCACAGCACATTGGCAGCCCTGTGAAGCACAATCTGCAGCCATTCCTGAGGAGCATTTTTCAGAGTGTTTTATTTTTCGCACCAAGTTATTACTGCCTTCTTTACTCCTCCACCCCTCCATCATTGTTTTTAATTTTCTCTTATTCTTAGGGATTATTGTATATCCATTGAGAAGTTAACAAAACTACTAGGACGTGTCTTGTTGGGAAGCTGTGAAAGCTACTTTTTATAACTAATAAAAAATGTTTAATTATACATTCCTAATTATGCTTTTTATATTTTAAAAACTTTTTATTAAATTTAATTATGTACTAATTAAAATTTTAACTGCAGTAATTTTAAGAATGTATAGTGTGTTAATGACCATCTAAAGGAAGATACTACATAGGGATAATATCATAAAGTACTCTGCTGTCTCTGAGATTGTTTTACGCTAGGCTTTATGATTATCTCCAGGATAAACTATTCTATATGAGATTGTTATAAATGCTATTTTAGGCATGCACATTACTTAACCAGTTCTAACAGTCATTTCTTTTATGTATTTTAGAAAATAGCTTCTTAAAATAGCGCCAAGCTGTTGTGAAAAAGAAAGGGAGAAATGTAGGTCAGGTTTGTCACACATGGACTGCAGTTACACAAAGTGATAGGTTGTCTTTCTGTACTGGCCTTGGGATAGGAGTCCTTCAGCCTTCTATGTGAACCTTCAGTATGCACCCTACATGCTAATGGGGGGAGTCAATAATCAGCTACAGCCCGTGGGGAAAACACTCAGTTGCACTCTGCCATAGTGCACCTGGCTCAGCATTGACTCGTGTGTTGTTAAAAGCTCACTGTCTCTCTAGTTGGTTATTGAATTCCCTTCCATGCCCAATGCTGGCACACCATCAAACCTCACAAAATGATTTTAAGGCTCCAACTACTAAGGTTATGTATATTTGATTTGAGAAACAGGGCTTTATTTTTAAAAAGCATTATAGGGTAAAGCCAATGATGTAAGTGGAACATGCATTTATTTTCACAGGGAGTTGTATCAATAAAATTAAGTATCTCTTATAGGCAGTGTGTGATACTTCTGTCTGAAAAGACTGCATGAGCTATTTGTTTATGTGCTGGAGTATTTGTTTTTAATAGTGATTTACTCATTAAACCGATCAGTTCTTCTTTTTTTTTTTTTGACTGATGAGAATTTTTAAAAAAATGTTAAGAACCTTTGCAAAGAATTTGCATTTACTTCCAAATATGGCTTGACTGTTGAGCTCTACTTTTATTTGGCACATATATGAGCATCTTTCTAGTGTTGTATTTCTTTTATAAATGTGTTTGTACTTATGGAAAAAGAATGAAGTGATTCCATTTCAGCATAAGCTCTATACATATAGATATATGTTTTTATCCTTGATTCACATGATATGATTGCTATGAAAGTATTGAAACTAACACACATGAATGTGTTGTGTATCAGAAGTTATCTGCATTCCTAAAGCCACAAAGCTCTACTGGAGATGATGATTCTCTCATGGTGCTTTTGCACATCTTTAGCAGGCTTTACTATGTGGTGCCAATTTGCTAAAGAAAAGAATAATTCACATAAAACTGTACTCTAAGGAGGAGTGTAGGGTATGTGTTTGCACTGGCACTCTGCATTTTTGCCACTCCACAGCCTGTATACTTTTTAAGAATATATTAGTGAAATTGACTAGAAGCATGCTGTCCAAAGAGAAGGGGCAAGGTAGAAATCACGAATCAAAAAATACTCCCTCTTGCTAGGGTATCGGGTGGGGTAGAACAAGAATAGAAAGGAATAGGAAACAGTTAAAAGTGACCAATAGAATCACATGGGAAGGTATAAAAGGTGTTAGAGAACAAAGAATCAACATCTTCAAGCCTTCGCATTGCCTTTGGGAAGTCCTTGGAACTGTGGATTTGTTTTTGAACTTTGAGTCCTTGCTTTTAAGGTTTTAATGGAAGCAGTTACTGTCTACTGTATCTCAGTGGACTCTTGGAGGTCACTGATGAGGACATGAAGAAGTTTAGACAAACCAGATACAGTGAGAGGCCTGTTTGATGATTCAGATAGCTAGATCTTCTGCTTGGAATTTATATAATGTCAGTTTGCTTTGCATATTTTTCAAAAAACTGATTCCTGAGTTGGCCTATTCTTAGACAGCATTTCAGTACCTCAGATCTTAGTAGTAAATATTACCTTCTTTACCAGAGGCTGTAAGTAGTGAGAATGCTTTGGGTTCAGTTTTAAATGGAGACCAGTCTGCTGTTCAGATAGGAAACAGAAGTGTCTCTTATTCAAATATAACTTGCTGTTTTTAAACCTTTCATACCAGAGTGATTTCTCAAAAATCTCAAAAGAAACCTAGTTTCATGTTGTTATTTCTTTTGAATACCAACATTAATTTTTCCCTCTTGACCCATGTTCAGTAAAATGGCTCCTCAAAAGAAGGAAATGAACTTGAACTTCTAACAGTGAGGATTTAGATTTGATAGAAGGAAAACCTTTGAGAGTGATAATTTGTTAAAGACCAGGATAGGTTACCGAGAAAGAGAGTATTAGTTATAACCAGGTCAGAGCACTCTTTTTTCTGGGTCACCCCCTGGGGACATGGAAATAGCTTTGTTATACAGAACTCCTTTTGCATGTGGTGATGGTTCATTGTAAACCTCTCTTCATATTGTGTGCTTTAAATATGTTTGTTTGTTTCCTGCCCTCCCTTAACTTGCTGTATAAAATAAGTTTGAGTTCTGTAATACTTGGGTAGGAGGTATGAGATATTTTATTGCCTAGAGTTGAATGCTTTCCTGCCTTTCATGGTTCAAAATTGATGCTTTCTTGTAAGGAAAGTCTCATCAATATTGGCCACAACTATGTATTTCTCTAAAAGATCATTTAAAGGGGCCTTTGACATCCATATTTCTTTGCTTCACAAAAGAAATTATTAAATGAGCTATTTCTAATAAAGTAAAAAGTAATAATCTAGGGCAGACAACCTAAAGTGTATATATTTTTCCTGCTCATTTCTTCCTGTACCTTCTTAGCTGACATTTTGGGTCCATGTTGCCCTGGCTGAAGAAAATCAAAATCTAAAAAGGGATGAGTAGTATTCAGTTCCCAGAGATTATACATTTTGAAAGCAGTCCTAACTAGTGAATTTAATCAATTAGTTCCAGTTGGCATATTTACCTTATTGTTTCTAAGGCTGCTTCCAGTGGTCCCTCGAAAGGCATGTAGTTTTTCAAGACTAAGCTTTGCATTTCTGACAACCAGTTAAGCACTTTGGAAAATCTTTTCAGGATTTATAAAATGTCCACATGAAGATTATCTGTTCAGTAGATTTTGGTGCCTTTATAAATCTTGTGGGGAGTTTTTTCATATCTCAAGCACATTACAAAACTCATCAGAAGTATATCATGGGAAAGTAATAGAGATCATGATTCAATAGCTTTGTAATTTTATGGTCATACAGATCTCTGATGACCCAAGAGTGACACAACGTATGAGTTAGGTTACTTCTCTGTGATCTGAGGAGGAACAAACCTTCAAATGAAACCAGTCAAATTAAATAATGTATTTTTAAAAATAAGGATTATGCTTGGAATCCTTACTGGTAGATTATTATATATTAAGATGTATTTTGGTTCTCTCAGTGAATTATTTTGTAATATGGCACCTTCACCTACATGGCCAACTACTTAGAGACACCTCAACAGCCTGGCTCAGAAGAGGATGGGTCAGACATTGTAAAGTGAGTGTGTCTTTGCTCAGAACTGATCAGCTACTCACCATAGCTAGATACAAAACATCATTTCTTATGTTGTATTATACAATTCATTTTGTCCCTTTATTAGGATAACTATTTGAGGACGGGAGGTAAGTATATAAATCTAGGAGCAAACAAGGAACATATCTTAAAACCCCGCCAACATTTATATGTCAGACAGCTGAATTGGCATGTAATTTCTTAAATTCAAAATAAGACTCTTTCCTGAAAAGCATGTTAATGTCAAAGACTGATTAACACCATACGATGGAAAATAATATACTTCTAAGTGTAGATAATATGAATTTAGAGTAACCCTTAGGAATAGTGACTGAAGGTCAGTTGATAGTTGTGTAAATTATATGCTAAAATGGAACCTCCCAAAATACTTGAAATTTATAAGATTAGGGATTCCATTTATGGCCATATCAGTACTTCCACTTGATTTTAGGAATTTCAGAATTGGCTGTAAAAATTTGCTTCAGGTAAAACTTGAAGATAAGCATCAGGGGTATTTTTTTTGGTGAATGTTTTCTGGGAAAAGTAAGTTTGTGAAATGATGCAGAAAATCCATTAAGACAGTTGGGGACTGGCATTTTCTTCAGAGGGAGAGGAAGGAATATAGAAAACTTTCTGTGAGGGTCTCCCTCTCCCCATTTATTTGTTACAAAATAGGTGACTACTCATGTTTGTTACTTTACTTGATGTAAATAACTTCTTTGTAATGAAAATGTATTTTTCTTTTCTTTTTTATTGTACTTCAGGTGAAGGCTTACAGAACAAATAGTTTCTCATGAAACAGTAGTACACGTGTTGTTTTATGACATTGGTTAACAACCCCACAACATATTAACCCTCTAAATTCTCAACCTTTTTTTTTTTTTTTTTGGTGAAAATATACATAGCCAAAGATACATATTTCGAAAATTTCTGCATGCACAGTTCAGTGACATTGACTACGCTCTTCCAGTTGTGCTGTTATTCTCACTTAAGATAAAGGCTTACAGAACAAAATAGTTTCTCATTTAACAGTTACTACAAATGTTGCCCTATGACAATGGTTAACAATCTCACAACACATCAACAATATCCTTACTCAACCATGGGTTCCCTATCATCAGCTTCCTTGTCCCCTTTTGCCTTCTGGCCCTTGGCACTGGACTACTGTACCTCGTTAGTCTCATTTGGTTTTACGGGGCTGT